CCAAAAAGCATCCCACCCAGACCCACCCCCCCAAGCTATCCCCATAATCCTGCATTTCCCATGGCTAATCCATCTAACCCACACATCCGTGGACACAATGGGCAATTTAGCATGGCCAATCCACCTAACCTACACAACTTTGGACTATGGGAGAAAACCACAACACGAACGCAGACACAGGGGGAATGTCTGAACTCCACACAGTTGCCGAAACTGGAATTGAACCCAGGTCCCTGGAGCTGTGAAGCAACAATGCTAACCACTGAGCCACCGCGCCACCCTAAACTTGGGTCACCTAACAGAGGTGTGTAAGATCATATAAGGAACAGTTGTTCCAGTTAGTCAAAGGATCAAGAACACGTGGGTTCACTTTCAAAGTGAAAGGGAGGAGTTTTAGAGGGGGTGGGAGGTGGGAAACCTCACAAACTTGAACGATCATTTGAGATCACATAACATTCAAGGCTATGGGCCTAGTGTGGGAAAGTGGAACTAGTGTAGGTAGTAATGTTTTTTTGACGGTATAGACTCAGTGAGCCAAAGGGCCTCAACTGTATTGTTTGAAGCTTCTTGAGTGTTGTTGGAGCTGTACTCAACCAGGCAAGTGGTAATTATTCCATCACATTCCTGACTTGTGACTTGCAAATAGTGGACAAGCTTTCGGGAGTCAGGAGGTCAGTTACTTGCCACAGCATTTTCAGCCTCTGACCTGCTTTTGTAGTCACAATATTTATATGGCTAGTCCAGTTTAATTTCTGGTCAGTGGTTACAGCCAGGATACTGATAATGGGACATTTAGTAATGGTGATGCCATTGAATGTCAAGGGTGATAGTTCTATTCTTTCTTCTTGGAGATGGTCATTGCCTGGCACTTGTGTATTGCGATTATTATTATATATGTATCATCTCAAAACTTGGATGTTGTCCAAGTCTTGCTGCATGGACTCCTTCACTATTTGAGGATTTGTGAATGGTGCTGAACATCGTGCAATCGTCAGTCAACATACCCATTTCCGACCTTATAATGAAGAGAAAGTCATTTATGAAGCAGCTGAAGATAATTGGGCCTCGAACACTGCACTGAGGAACTCCTGCAGAAGATGTCCAGAAGATGAGATGATTGATCTCCAACATCTTCCTATGTGCCAGGTATGACTCCAACCAGTGGGGAATTTACCCCTGATTTACCCCCAAGACTCATTGATGCTGCATGCAGTCAGATGCTGCCTTGATGTGAAAGGCTGTCTCTCGAACCTCACTTCTGGAATTCACCTGTTTTGTTCCTGCTTGGATGAAGAGTTTAGTTGAGTGGCCCTGGCAAAACCCATACTGACCGTTTGTCATCTTCCTTTGTGATCAACAAAACACTATCAACAACCCCTTTTACCACTTTACTGATGATAGAGAGTATACTGATGGGGTGGTATTGTCTAGGTTTTTCCATTCAGGATATACCTGGGCAATTTTCCACATTGTCAGGTAGATGCCAGTATTGTAGCTGTACTGGAACAGCTTGGTTAGGGGAGTAGCAAATTCTGTAGCGGAAGTCTTCAGTACTGTTGCCAGAAGAATCAGTGTAGGGACAGGCCACACTAACTCTCTGAAGGGCATTACACACAGATCCATCCCCCACCAAATATTTCCCATGGAAAACACCTACATATCCCTGGCCACTATGGGGCAATTTAGCATAGCGCACTTAACGTGCACATCTTTGGACTGTGGGAGGAAACCCACCAGACACAGGGAGAATGTGCAAACTCCACACAGGCAGTCACTCAAGGCTGGAATCGAACCCAGGTCCCTGGTGCTGTGGCGCAGCAGTGCTAGCCACTGAGCCACAGTGCCGCCCTGTATCCAATGTCTCAACTGTTTCTTGATATCATGTGAAATGAATTGAATTGGCTGAAGACTGGTATCTGTGATGCTGGAGACCACTGGAGGAGGCCGAGCTGGATCAACCACTAGGCACTTCTGGCTAAAGATTGCTGTAAATGCTTCAGCCTTATCTTTTGCACTCATGAGCTGCAGCATAAGTTGTCTATCCTTATACTCCATGCCCCTTCCAATGAAGGCAAGCATGCCATAGGCCTTTTTTACTATCTTATCTACCTGCATTGCCACCTTCAGTGATCTGTGGACTTTCACACCCAGATCCCTCTGCATATCAATACTCCTAAGGGTGTGCCATTCACTTTATAATTTCCACCCGTTCTTGACTTTCCAAAATGCATCACCTTGTCTGCATTAAACTCCATCTACCATTTTTCTGCCTATGCTTCCAACTGATCTATATCCTGCTGTATCCTCTGACAATCCTCCTCACTATCCATTACTCTACCAATCTTTGTTTTGTCTGAAAACTTACTAATTAGATCAGCTATGTTTTCCTCCAAATCATTTATGTCATCACGAACAGCAGAGGTCCCAGCACTGATCCCTGTGGAACACTGCTCGTCACAGCCCTCCATTCCGAAAAGCATTCTTCCACCACTATCCTCTGTCTCCTATGACTATGCCCGTTCTGTATCCATCTTGCCAGCTCACCCCTGATACCATGTGACTTCACCTTTTGTAGCAGTCTGTCATGAGGAACCTTGTCAGAGGTTTTTCTGAAGTCCGTGCAGACACTATCAACCACTTTTCTCTCATCAATCATCATCGTCACCTCCTCAAAAAAACTCAATCAAGTTAGTGAGGCATGATCTCCGCTGCTCAACCATGCTCTTTATTGCTAATCAGTCCATTTGTTTCTAAATGTTCATAGAACTTGTCCCTAAGAATCTCTTCCAATAATTTCCCTACCACTGACGTGAGGCTCACAGGCCTGTAATTTCCTGGATTATCCCTGTTACCCTTAGCAAACAATGGGACAACATTGGCTATCCTCCAGTCCTCTGGGACCTCACCTGTAGGACTGAAGGGTCTGCTTCCACGCTGTATAACTCTATGACTCTATGAAATATTTAATGGTGCTGTGAGGCAAGGTACTTGTTATACTCCTTCCACACAAAAAAGCTATATATTCAAACTTCTACACTCTTCTGTTTCCAGCAAATGATCAAATTGACAACTGGCAAACATAAACATGTCAGATTTTCCATGTCAGTTTGATCAATTAAGTCATTAGGACTTACTGTGTCTCCCTGAAAGGAGACTTATGTGTCATTTTGAACAAACTTTGACCTCAACTTTTAGCTTGCTCACGCTTTATGTCACCTAAACAACCATATGATGCTTGCACAGTACAATTCTATGACAATCACAGATTCAGCTGATAAATAGTCCACATTATCATATCTGATTCACCACATTTGTTTTTAAATAAAACTTCAGCTTTTCCAGAGTTACTCTGACAGTTTGGTTCTTTACGCCTGGGTTAAAATACTCAATCTAAACACAGAAACACATTCAAACCAGTGATCTTTCTACTTATTAGGTCTTCAGGCTTCATATGTTTTCTTCTCATTTTCATCTCACTTAATTTCGGCTAACCTAGCAATTTTTAGGTTAATATCTACTGGTTGCACATTCATACTGTTTCTCCAGTGTTTTCTTCCCAAAATGAATCACTTGATATTTCTTTGCATTAAATTTCGACTGCCACTTGTCTGCCCATTCCACCAAGCTGTCTATGTCCTTTTGAAGTTCCATACTATCCCCTACACCGTTCACAATACTTTAGAGTTTTGTACCATTGCAGACTTTGTAATTGTGACCTGTACATCAAGATCTAGGCTATTAATATACATTAGGGAAAGCCAGGATCCCGCAATATGACATCTGGATATCTCCACCGTAGACTTTCCTCCAGCGCACAAAATGACATTAACCACCACTCTTTGTTTCCTATCACTTAACTTCCACATTTGTGTTGCTACTGTCCCTTTTATTGCTCACAAGCCTGTTGTGCAACATTTTATCAAATACCTTTTGGAAGTCGATGTACACTAGATCTACAGCTTTGTCAAATCTCTGTTACTTCATCAAAGAACCAAGAATGGGTGGCACAGTGACACAGTGATTACCACTGCCGCCTCAGAGTGCCAGGGACTGAGGTTCAATTCCACCCTTGGGCAACTGTCTGTGTGGAGTTCGCACATTATCCCTATGTCTGTGTGGGTTTCCTCCAGGTGTTCTGGTTTCCTCCCACCGTCCAAAGATGTGCAGGTTAGGTGGGTAGGCCATGCTAAGTTGCCCATAGTGTCCAGGAATGTACAGACTAGGTGGATTAACCATGGAAAATGCAGGGTTACAGGGGTAGGGGATGGGTCTGAATGGGATGCTGTTCAGAGGGTCAGTGTGGACTTGATGGGCTGAACACTGCTTCACACTGTAGGATTTTTTAAAAATTCCAGCAAGTTAAACATGATTTACTCTTTTTAAATGTCACCTTTCATTAATAACTCCTCATTTGCTCAAAGTACAATTAATCTTGTCCTGAGTTCTCATTTCAAGAATTTGATTGACCTGTAGTTGTTGAGCTTGTGTGTACAGCATTTTTTGAACAAAGTTATAATATTTACAATTTTCCCATCATCTTGTATCTTTGCTGATTCTACAGAGGACTGAAAAATAATGGCCAGTGCAGATATATTTCCTCCGGTACTGGTGTCTTATCGACTTGAAGTAGAGACAGCTTGCCCAATAACATCTCTTTCTCAATTGTAAACTCCCAGATATCTGAATTACCACCTTTATGCACAGCATCCTCTTCGGATGTTTGTTTGCCTTCCCTTTATCCATTGTGGGAATATACCCTGACTGTTCCTGAACTATCTCTTCTTTAAAGGTAACTCATTGATCAGTTACAGTTTTTCCTTATTCCGATTTATTTTGCCCTGAACCATTCCTATGCCATTGAAGTTGCTTTCATCCAATTAATTATTCTTCTTCTGGATTTTTTTTGTCCTTTTCCATAACCGTCCTAAACCTCCTGATACACCAAGCATTGTGCTTAAATCAATTGTTTGTGACTTGTTTCTGTTTTTGTTTATATCCAGGGCTTGTCAGGTCTGCAGAGCCCTCGGAGCAGTTCGATTACCAGGAGGGCAGCTGGCTTGCCAATGCTGTTACTGAGCGTTGTGGCTGGAGAAGACAGCGAGATACAACCTCTACTCCAGTATTGCATGAAAACATTACTAGATATTGCCAACACTCCTCTGTCCAGTGACTGGGATCAGACAATTGATCTCCCTCAGGTCAGTACCAACAGTCACTATATATGGAAGCCAGTAGGGAATACAGTGAGTTAAGGGCAGCGTGTCAAAAATGTTGAAAGTAGATAGTGGAACCCAACAGGTTATTATCCTTGGGCCATACTTGATAACTCTGTATTTCAGTGATTTTGATACAGATCAAGAGTAAGTGGTGTCAAATTTGCAAGTAATCAAAATTGTAGGTAGGTTAGTTTTTCAGTCCAAAGTTGATAAGTCGGGCAATGGCTAAAACTTGTCATATGGAATTCAGTGTCAGTGAGTGTGAGAAGGAAGCTTGGTGCTATAAGGATGCAAAGAGATCTGGGGAACTGGTTTACAGAACATTAAAGGCAGCGTTTGAAGTGGATAAGGCTATGAAGGAAAGTTTGTGAGATTTTTGGTTTTACCTCAAAACATACAGAGTAGTAGAGCCAAAAGGTAATGCTTAACTAACATAAAAATTATTAAACTTCAATTACAGCAGTCTTGGGCAATGTTTGTTCCACACTGTAGGGAGGATTTTGAAGCTTTAGAAAAGGTTTAACATATATTTGCCTGGGTGCTGCTTGGCTGAGGAAATACAACAGAAGAAAAAGGTTTTAAATATTGAGTCTTTTTAATTGGAACAACATCAGTCGTAAGACTATAATTGAAAAGCTTAAAATGATGAAATGATAGGTTGAAGGTAGAATCAAACATACGAACTAGAGGAGATTGATCAATGTCTTAACTCCATCCACCTTCTTTCTCTCCCTATCTTTTGTTCAGCAAAATCTATTGAATGCAGATTTAAAACTGTGAATTGAGCCCCTAACATTCACTGCTAATTTTTGGGAGAAAGTTCCACATTTCCAGCAGCCTTTGTATGATGTGAAATACTCATAACTTCTTTACTGAATAGTCTGACTTTGATGTTAAGGTTATGATTCCCCCATCCTAGACTCCAACTTTAGTGAAATAGTTGCTTGTTATCTATATTATCAATTCCTTTCAAAATCCAAAAACTCCAACCATAACACCTCTAAATCTCATACATTCCAATATACAAATACTGAGGCTTGGACTCACAGAGTCAAAATGCAAGCAGGATCCGAATCAGAAAATCTCACCCCTATTCCTGATCCCATTTCTGCTGGTAGGAAATAGGGGTTTAGGTGTGACTCATATTTGAGGGAAACCTGAATTCAGCAGAGCCATTTGAGTTCAGTGCTAAGTTCATACAGACCCCATTCTCAGTAAAGCAAGGACCTTAACCTGCACTACAAATTTTTAGAGTAGTCGTAAATGTCCTTGAAGGGCAGCAAGAACTATTCAGTTGCAAATCTGCTGGCCTTTAAAAGGAAAAAAATACACCCTGTGTGTCAATGTGTGATTAAAAAGAAATCAGTTATGGAAGTTATAATAGTTATTGTTGACGTTACCTTCAGGGCTATCATTATACCATTATTAATGTTTGACTGCTTTCCAGAATCAGTAGTTATCCCAGCAAGGGGTTCTAAAACAGTTTAATTCTCAGCTCAAAGATGTCATTAAAGGATTAAACAGAAAAAAACAAAAAACTGCAGATGCTGGAATTCAGAAACAAAAACGAAAATTGCTGGAAAAACTCAGCAGGTCTGCCAGCACCAGTGGAGAGAAAGTAGAGTTAGCATTTCAGGTCCATTGACCCTTTTTCAGAACTGATTGTAGCTAGAAACAGGTCTACTGTATTCACTGCGCACAATGTGGTCTGCTGTACGTTGAGGAGATGAAATGCAGACTGGGTAACTGCTTGGCAGAACACTTACACTCTGTCCGCAAAATGACCCTGAGCTTCCTGTAACCTGCCATTTCAACACACCACTGTGTTCCCTGGCCAACATCTCTGTTTCACACTTGCTGTTTTGCTCCAGCGAAGCTCAGCACAAACTGGCAGAACAATTTTCCATGGGGACCCTATAGCCTTCAGGACTCAATATTGAATTAAATAATTTTAGGGCCTAAGCATCTTCTTCCATGTCCTTATCCCAACCCCCATACACCAGGCCTTGCCATCCCATGGGCTGCTACCACAAACAATTTAGATTTTCGTTGAATTCAAATTCTACCTCTGCTACAAGTATGTAGGATTCGAACCCATGTCCCCAGAACATTACCTCAGTGTCTGGATTAACAGTCTAACGATAAAATCACTAAACCATCACCTCCCTTTATGGCTATTTGACAGATTGGATCCAAAATTGGCTTAGTGGCAGGAGGCAGCAAGTGCTTGTTGAAGGGTGTTCTTTTGTGACTGGAAGCTAGTGTCTAGTGGCATACTGCAAGGTCCAGTGCTGAATCGCTTGCTGTTTGTAGTGTACATGAATGGTTTGGACACAATATAGGAAGTTTTATTGCTAAGTTCACAGGATAACACAAAAATTGGTGATGTGATAAATAGTAAGGAGGAAAGCTTTAGATTACAGGACAACGTAGACGGGTTTGAGGGGTTTGAACAGCAGCAAATGGAGTTTAATCCTGAAAAATGTGAAGTGATACATTTTAGGAGGACTAAGAAGTCAAGGAATACTTGATAAATGGTAGAAAGCTGGGTGGTACAGAGGATCAGCATGTTCATGTCCATAGATCCTTGAAAGTAGCAGAACAGGTGGATAAGGTCATTAAGAAGGCAGATGAGATTCTTGGCTTCATTAGTTAACAAATAGAATAGAAAGCAAGGAAGCTATCTTGGACCTGTGCAGAACATTGGTTAGGCTTCTGCTGGAGTACAGTGTGCAGTTCTGGTCACCACACTGTAGGAACGATGTGATTTCACCGGAGAGGGAGCAAGGGAGATACACCAGGATATTGCATGGGCTGAGGCATTTCAGCTTTGAAGAGAGGCTGGATAGGCTAGGATTGTTTTCCTTGGAGCAGAGAAGTCTCAGGTGGGACCAGATTGATGTCTACAAGATTTAGGGGCATAGATAGGGTTAATAGGAATAAACCTTTCCCCATAGAGGAGGGAGTCAGAATTTGAGGTGAGTATTTTCTTCACACCTAGAGGGTGGTGGGTATCTGGAATCCTCTGATTGAAAGGGTGGTAGGAGTGAGAACCATCAAGACATTTAAAAAGTATTTTGATGATCAGGGCCAAGTGCTAGGAAATGGGATTAGAGAGGATGGGTTTGATGACTGGTGTGGGCATGTTGGGCCAAATGATCCCTCTCTGTGCTGTAATACTCTGACTCAATCCATACACTCTGTCTTCTGCACCTAACTAATCCATAACCAAGTCAGTAATTTTCTTCTGTCCCAGTTTTACCTCACAGCCTTTTATTGTATACTGATAAATTGAGGCACTAGAACACAAGGGTCATAGTTACATAATTTTAAGAGAGAGATTCCCATTCTCACGGTGCTTGACAGCCAATGATGCAAGGTTGTGTTCGCTGTCTGTTATTTAGGAAAAGTGGCAGCCAATTAGCACACAGCAAGCTCTCATAAATAGCAATGTGATAGTGACTAGATATTCAGTTTTCTAATGTCAATTGAGAGATAAATATTGGCAGAGACACCAGGGAGAATTCTCCTGCTCTTCAATAATGTATATGTGAAGCTAATTAGAATAGAAAGAAATCAAAAGTTGACAGAATGATGAGCTGTGGAATTTAAGAGTTAAAACCTGGCAGGGAGGCGGTGAATTGTGTAATTATTCAAGATGAAGTTGAATAAGTAAATGAAGCAAAAGGACATGAATTATCACAAGATACTTACAACACAGGGAGAGGCTATTTGGTCCGTTGTATTTTTGCCAGATTTCTGAACTAATAATTGAGCAAATCCTGCTCCCCTGTCTTTTACCCATTACCTTGCAATTTGTTTCTCTTGATCAAATAAATACCTTTTGAAAATCACGATTAACTTTTTCAACACGCCCTAGGCAATGCATTCCAGATCCCAACCACTCACTGTGAGAAAATGTTTCCTCCAGTGATGCCTTTGGTTATTTTGTCATTCATCTTTAATTGTGTTTTCTGGTTCTTGACCCTTCCACTTTTGGGAACAGTGTCTCTGTATCAAGGCTGTTCATAATACTCATGATTTTGAATATCTCTATCAAGTCCTCACTCTGCCTTTTCCTCCAAGAAGACTAGCCCCAGCTATTCGACATAACTGAAGGCCCTCATTCCAGGAGCAGTTCTCATGAATCTTTTCCACACATACTCTAATACTTTCACATTCTTCCAAAAGACCATTGCACAGAATTGGATGTAACAGTCCAGCTGAGGCTGAGTCAATACTTTATTCAAGCTTATCCTTACTTCTGTACACTATGTCCCTATTTATAACTGTATACCTTCCCCAACACTTTCTCAACCTGCTGTCCAGATTCAAGAACTTGTGTGCATATTTTCTCAGATCTTTCTGCTTCTCCTTTTAGAATCATACCCATTATTTTCTTTGGCCTCTCCTTGTTCTTCCTACCAAACTAAATTACTTCACAGTTTTCTACATTAAATTTTACCAGGCACTTATCTACCCCTTGTACCTCACAGCCAGGTTTTGTGTCATCTGGAAATGTTGAAATTGTGCCTGGCCCCTCCCAGATCTTGGTTATTTAATATGATCACACAAAGTAGTTGCCCTTGTACCACTCTCTGAGCAACCCCACTATGATTTTGTGTTTCTTGTCACACAGACAGCTTTATATCCATGATGCTCTTGTCCCTTTTATTCCATAGTCTTCACTTTTGCTGGCAAGCTTGTTATGTGGCACTTCATCAAATGCCTTTTAGAAGTCAATGTGTACATCAACTGCATTATCCTCAACAATCTGCTCTCTTATTTTTGCATAATATTCTGTGCTTGAAACATATTTTGCTTTAAGCAAACCAGTGGCGACTCTCCTCAGTTAATCCTCACTTGTCCAACTGACGTTAATTTTGTTCCAAATTTGCATTTAGACTCATTGAGCCAAATTTTCATGATGTGTCAGAGGCAAGGTGTATTAAAATGGTACTTTGGAGCTGATTTCATGGAGT